CAGCTGTGCCTGCCATGTGTGTGTGTGTGCGCGCGCGTATCCACAGCTGGACCGATGTGCCTGCCGTGTGTGTACATGTGTGCGTGTGTGTGTGCGTATCCACGGCTGGACAGATGTGCCTGCCGTGTGTGTGCGTGTGTGCATGTGTGTGCGCGTATCCATGGCTGGACAGATGTGCCTGCTCTGTGTGTGTGTGTGTGTTTGTGTTAGATCTCATGCATTTAAGCATACACATAGTGCTTATGATGCTTCTCAATGACAAAGTAAATTAATTATGCTGAATATTATGGTAGTGTAAGAGCTACCTTCACATCAGTATTAGTGCTGTTGATTTTACTGTGTATTGATTTTTTTTTTTTTGAGTCAGAGTCTCACTATATCACCCTTAGTAGAGTGTCTTGGCATCACAGCTCACAGCAACCTCAGACTCATGGGCTTAAGTGATTCTCTTGCCTCAGCCTCCCAAGTAGCTGGGATTATAGGGGCCCACCACAACACCCAGCTGTTTTTTTGTCACTGTTGTTGGAATTGTCATCGTTGTTTAGCAGGCTCGGGCCAGGTTCGAACCTGCCAGCCCCAGTGTATGTGGTTGGTGCCCTAAACTTTGAGCTGTAGGTGCCGAACCTGTGCAATGATTATTAATGTAGCTATTTAGTAAAAGCACCTGGGGAATTTAAGACCATGCCTTGACTCCACCCACAATAGAATAAAAATTTCTGGATTTCTGCTGGTGGGGCCAGAGCATCTGCATTTTTAAAAGCTAATTAGAGGATTCTGATGTACATGGAAAGTTGGAACCTCATCCTTCTCATGTTACATACAGATGGAAATACTAAGCCCCAAAGAAATTAAGTGGTTATGCAGCCATTTGATGCAGTAGTTGGGCCAAAACCATGTTAATAATTTGAGTTAAGGTTTTTTTTGACATTTACAGAGATGATCAGATAGTATTTCTTTTTTTTTTTTTAAATCTGTTAACATGGTGAAATACATTGGTTGACTTTCAAATGTTAAACTAGCCTTGCATTCCTAGTATAAACCCCATTTGGTCACAATGTAGTATCCTTTTGACATATTACTATTTTATAGATTGCTACTATTTTGTTAAAGATTTTTACATCTGTATTCATGAGAAATATTGGTCTACGGTTTTCTTATAATGTATTTTTCAGATTTTAGTATCAGGATTATGTTGGCCTTATAAAACAAGATGGAAAGTGTTCTCTCCTATTTTATTTTCTGAAAACGTTTGTATAAAATTTTAGTTATTTCTTCCTTAAATGTTTGATAGAATTAACTAGGAGTTTTCTTTATGGAAAGAGTTTTGATAGCTAATTCAATTTTTTTTTTTTTTTTGAGACAGAGTCTCACTTTGTTGCTCTCTGTAGAGTACTATGGCATCATAGCTCACAGCAACCTCAACTCTTGGGCTTAAGCAATCTTCTTGCCTCAGCCTCCTGAGTAGCTGGGGTTGAAGGTGCCTGCCACAAAGCCTGGCTATTTTTTTTAGAGATGGGGTCTCGCTTTTGTTCAGGCTGGCCTCAAATTTCTGAGCTCAAGCGATCCACCTGCCACAGCCTCCCAGACTGCTAGGATTACAGGCATGAGCCACCGCACCTGGCCTTTAATTCAGTCCTTTGAATGGCTGGCTCTAGGCCTATTCAGATTGTCTCTTTTTGTGTCTGATTAGATAAATTGTGTCTTTCAAGAAATTTTCTATTTCGTTAAACTTTTCTTACTTATTAGCAAAAATGTTTATGATACTCCAATTATCTTTTTCATATTTATAGAATTAGTATTAATATAGCCTCTTTCATAATTGATTTTGGTAATTTACATGTTCCCTTTTTTTGATCTGCTAGTTTTAATCTTAAGAACCAACATTTGGTTTTGTTAACTTTCTCTGTTTTGTGTTTGTTTATTTTGTTGGTTTCTGCTTTTATCTTTATTATTTCCTTCCTTCTACTTCGAGTTTAATTTGACTTACTTTTTGTAGCTTTTTAAGTAAACTTATATTACTAAAATTTTTCTCAGAGATTACGTTTAAAGCTACAAATACCTGTCCAAGCACTTCTTTACCTGCATTTCACAAATTTTGATATCATCATGTAGTTTGAGATATTTTCTAATTTCCTTTATGATTTCTTCTTTGACCTCTGGATTATTTGTGTTCTTTATTTTCTAAATATTTATGCTTTTTTAAAATTGGAGACTGGGTCTTTGTTTGTTGCCTCAGCAACAAAGATTGCTGTGCAGTTCACCTTGACAGCAACCTCAAATTCCTGGGCTCAAATGATCCTCTTGCCTCAGCCTCCCAAGTAGCTGGGACTACAGGCACCCACCACAAGGCTGAGCTACTGTTTCTATTTTTAGTAGATATGGGAGTCTCACTGTGTTGTTTAGGCCAATCTCAAACTCCTGATCTCAAGCAGTCCTCCCACCTTAGCCTCCTACAGTGCTAGGATTATAGGTGTGAGCCACCATAACGGCCCATGTTTGGAGCTTTTAAAGGTATCTTTTGGCTATTGATTTCTTATTTAATTCTATGCATTCAGAGGACATATTCCAACATTTCAGTGTTTTTAGAAATTTTGAGTATCCTATGACCTAAGATATATTCTAAGTACAATTCATAGAATCCACATTCGTCTACAGTGCTGGGTGTGATGTACTACATGTATAAATTAAATCAGTGTGGTTGTAAGTGTTCAGACGCTTAAGTCCTTGTAAGTTTTTCTGGTCCACTTTTTCTTTTACTAAGAGAAGGTTGTTAAAATATGATTGAGAATTTATTTCCCCCTACTTACTCTGATAGCTTTTGCCTCATAAATTTTGAGGCTGTAATGCATATACGCATTTGTGAATGTCATTATCTTCCTGATCAATTTACCGTACTATCATTATGATATGTCTCTTTATCTCTGGCCATAATTTATGTCTTGAGGGGAGCACCTGTGACTCAGTGGGTAGGGTGCCAGCCCCATATACTGAGGGTGGCAGGTTCAAATTCAGCCCCGGCCAAACTGCAACAAAAAAATAGCCGGGCATTGTGGCAGGCACTTGTAGTCCTAGCTCCTCAGGAGGCTGAGGCAAGAGAATTGCCTAAGCTCAGGAGCTGGAGGTTGCTGTGAGCTGTGACTCTATGGCACTCTACCGAGGGCAACAAAATGAGACTATCTCTAAAAAAAAAATTAAATTAAATTAAAAAGAAATGTATGTCTTGAAGTCTTCTCTGTCTGATAACAGTACACCAATTTTCTTATGCTTTCTGTTTGCACAGTATATCCTATTCTGGCATTTTCTAATCTCCGTATTTATAGCTAAAGTATGTTTCTTATAGACAAAGCATAGCTAGATCTTACCTTTTTTAATTAGGTCTAATAATCTTTGCCCTTTTTAAAAATTATTTTTATTTTGTGTTGTTGCAGTTTGGCCGGGGCTGGGTTTAAACTCACCACCCTCGGTATATGGGGCTGACACGCCACTCACTGAGCCACAGGCACCACCCTAATCTTTGCCCTTTTTTTAAGAATATAAAAGTGTAAAATTTTATCTTCTTAGGTTTAATTCCATTTCTGTTCCCTGTCCTGTGTGCTGTTGTTACCATACTTTTTCTTCTGTGTGTATCTTAAACCCAGAAATACGATGTTGTGTTTTTGCCTCACATAATCAGTTCAAAGAAATTAAGAGAAGACTCTGTAGAGAAACTGTTAAACTTGTCCTATTTTCCGTTTTCTGTAGCTTTGTTTCTTTCCACAGACTCAGGTTTCCATCTAGTGTCATTTCCAGTTAGCCCAAAGGAATTTCTTTACAGTGGTTCTCAACCTTCCTAATGTCACGACACTTTAATACAGCTCCTCATGTTGTGGTGACCCCCAACCATAAAATTATTTTTGTTGCGACTTCATAACTGTAATTTTGCTACTGTTATGAACTGTAATATAAATATCTGATATGCAGGATGTATTTTCATTGTTGCAAAGGGGTCACAACCCACAGGTTGAGAACTGCTGCTTTAGAACGCTTTTTCTTATTGGCAACAAAATCTCAGGTTATATTTTTCAGAAGTTTCTTTCTCCTTTATTATTATAGGATATTTTCTCTAAATAGGATTCTCAGCTGACCATTACTTTTCTTTCGGCACTTTAAAAACGTCATTCCAACGTCTTCTGGCTTCTGTTTTTCTCTTTAGAACGAAGTCGCATTTCACAGTCGTTCTCCCGTGTGTCACGCTTGTTTCCTCTAGCTGCTATCTGGATTATCTTTATTATATGTTTGTTTTTTAGCAATTTGGCTATGATGTACCTAGAATTGGTTTTCTTGGTATTAATATTTATCCTGCTTAAAGTTTGCTGATCTCCTTGAATATGTGATTCCAGTGATTATTATTGGTTTTTTACTTCTTCATGTATTTTTCTGCCCCATCCTTAGACTCTAGTTGCACGGAAGTCATACGCGCTTGTACTGTCACACAGGTCACTTGAGCTCCTTGCCCTCAGGATTTTTTCTCTCTTTTCACTAGATCTGTCTTCACTTCACTGGTCCTTCTCCCTTCTCTAATGTGCTTTTAAGGCAAATACATGGATTTTTCATTTAGATCATTTCGATTTTGAGTTCTGGAATACCCATTTGATGCTTTCCCATAGTACTCATTTCTCTGTTGAGATTCTCTGTCTGTTTACTCATTCAATGCATTGTTTCCTTTGAGTTATTGAATTTGTTGTAGCAGCTACTTTTAAATCTTTATTTGCTAATTCTTACATCTGGGTCATCTCAAGGTGAGTTTCTCTTTTTTTCTCTTGGGTATAGACTACATTTTTCTATTTTTTTCTGATGAATCACCGTTTTTTAATTATGTAAAATCTCTATTTTATATTTTAAAATTGACACTGTGGACAGTACATCATAGAGACACTGGATCATGTTATTCTCTAAAGAATGTTAATCTTTGTTATACTGGGTAAACTATTGGTGATAACGTAAAACGTGTGACCTTGTCTTTGTGCTTTGCTAGGATGAATATATAATCTCATTCCTAAGATGCAGCCTTTATTCTTAAATGTGGCCTTTCTGGTGTTTCTGTGGAAGGACAGAAGTGTTCACCAAACCCTGCTAATGTGGCAGGTTCTAAACTTTGTGTCCCCGAACTCAGACGTTCTTTTCTGCCTATTACATTTCATGTTAGAGCTTATGCCTGGTTCCAGAGTCAGCTGAGGATGAAGGGGAAGTTCCCCCAGCTTTGGGGCTGGCCTCCTTTCTGGCACCTCCTCTTTCAGTGTGCAAGCCTGAGACGCTGTCCTGGACCCCGCAAGCCAAGAGGCTACATGCAGGAGACTGGAGAGTAACCTCAGGGGATACCTTGTTAACAAGGCCGGCAGTGTGATTTTCTTCTTTTAAGGGTTCATTCCCTCTCCTTGATGCTGACTTCCAGCACTTTCAGACAGTTGCTTTTTATATTTTGCTTAGAGATTATTGTTACCTGAGCCTTAGAGTTTATAATTGTTACCTGAGCCAGGATTTTCCCCATACACATTACTCTACAGTTACCACAGTAAGAAATCTTTAGTCCTTTCCCCTGCTCTAGCATTTAGAATCATTGAAAATCCATTTGACTGTGCAGAAAGGAACTTAAAACACTTGTCTTCAGTGGTTGTGAACAGTGGAATTATTGTCATACATAAAGCCCAGCATAAATAGCAAAAGGCATTTACGACCTCAGCATCCAGGCATATATAGTACTACTAGAAGGAATCTTTGTGTCATAATGAAAAATGCACGTTATTAGCAGATTATTAACTATATAAATTGTATAATTGGACCGATACCATAATAAATTTTGTGTAAAACTTTGTCATTTATGTTATTTGGCTTGTGTGAAGTCTTAGAGATATTTGCAACACTGTCACAAATATTACTGCCACTAAAATTGGCACCATTAGCACTTGAGGTGTGTAGGTGACACTACCTTTGCCCAGTTAATTAGAAAACTCTGTTGCTATGTCAGAGGAAAATGGTATTAAAAATTCCACATTAGTTTCTGGATAAAGGAGACTTCAGTTGTGTAAAGGCCTTTCGTAGAAGACTTTAGTTCCAAGAAAGTTGTCTTCCCAGTCATTCAATTAACTATTTCTTAGAAAATCCTGGCCAGGTGCAGTGGCTAATGCCATAATCCCAGCACATTGGGAGGCTGAGGCCACAGAATCACTCAAGGTCAGGAGGTAAAGACCATCATGGGCAACATTTAAAATTGAAAAATCAACTGGGTGAGGTGCATGTGCCTGTCATCCCAGCGACTTGGGAGGCTGAAGCAGGAGAACTGCTTGAGCCCAGGAGTTTGAGGTTGCTGTGAGCTGTGATGACGCCACTGTACTTTGGCCTGGGCCACAGAGAGAGATTCTGTCCCACTCAGTCAACAACAAACTTTTTAAAGTCCTGACGGAAATCTTTCTTGGTGGGAACAGGGAAGTTTGATCCTACCAAATAAGCTTGGGATAATCTCTGTCTGTGGCCAGCCATGAGGGAGGGCATTGACAGCACGTGCTGCTCCTGTTGTGACCCTCCTGGGTGTCATAGCTTCTCTTCCCTGATGTGCTTTTGAACTCGTTTTCACAGGCCTGATGCGCTCAAGGGTCCGGGGGGCTGACGCTGCCCAAGCCAAAGTCCTGACCTTCCTCGACAGTCACTGTGAGTGCAATGAGCACTGGCTGGAGCCCCTCCTGGAGAGGGTAGCCGAGGTGAGATGCTGAGGAGGGACAGTGGGATGGCGGGTCAGAGAAGGAGGCTGGGGCGTGGTCCTGGGAGAGAGGGAAGGAGGGAAACAGGCTGCTGGGGTTGGTGGGGCACGCTGGCTGGAGCCCCTCCTGGATAGGATAACCGAAGTGAGACCCTAAGGAGGAATAATGGGACTGCGGACCTGGGGGCCTGGCCCTGGGAGAGAGGCAAGGAGGCTGCTGGGGCTGGCAGGGCACATTGGCTGGCTCTGGTGTTCTTGATGCTGGAATGAAAAGAAAATGCCTCTGGGAAGTTTGTTCTGGGAGTGTCTTATTGGCTGCAGGAATCTCTCAGTAGGAGAAATGGTCAGTTGACAAATAGTGGACAAGGATCAGTAAAGGCAGATAAAAGCCCAGTTCATTTTTAAGATTGCCCCTTTCTTGGGACTATCTCCTACCTGCCTGCAACTTCGCAAAATGGTTAAAGCAGTATGGTGCAGCTGGTGGGCCTGTGGAGAGGGGTCTTGCTGAGGAAGCCGCCGGTGTGGTGCAGCTGGTGGGCCTGTGGAGAGGGGTCTTGCTGAGGAAGCCGCCGGTGTGGTGCAGCTGGTGGGCCTGTGGAGAGGGGTCTTGCTGAGGAAGCCGCCGGTGTGGTATAGCTGGTGGGCCTGTGGAGAGGGGTCTTGCTGAGGAAGCCGCCCGTGTGCTCAGACTGCTTTTAGCGAGAGGTCCAGGTTCACATACCAGGCTCCATGGGCAGGGGGCAGTAGAAACCACACAGGGACCAGTTTGGGCTGTTAGTGCAGTGGTTCTCAATCTTCCTAATGCCACGAACTTTTAATACAGTCCAAAGGGGTCGCGACCCACAGGTTGAGAACAGCTGTGTTAGCAGGTGACCCGAGCTACGCTTTCTATAACTCTGCCTTCTAGAAGCATCATTGCTGATATTACATTTGGCCTTTTGTTGTTTCTCTTGTCTTCTGCTGGGTTTATCGCCTTTCTTTCCTTTCTACTAAAGAAAGCACTTCCTTGGGGGTGATAAAACAAACTTAATAAAAGAAGACAGAAAATGAACAAGTCTCTCTGCCTAAGTGTAGCAGAATAGTAGATATGCCATTGCTGTGTAGCCACAAGCTGCTAGCAATTGTGAAAATCGTATTTACTACCCTTTATTGAGTTTAAACTAGTTGCGTTTTGTATATTAGCTCTTTGTTTCATTTTTATCTTTGGTTTTTTGTGGGTTTTTTTGTTTTGTTTTGTTTTTGCTATAGTTGTTTTTTGAGATAGGGTCTTGCCTTTTTGCTCAGGCTGGAATGCAGTGGCACAATCATAGCTCACTGTCTGCAACTTTGAATTCCGGGACTCACATGATTCTCTTGCCTCAGTCTCCTTAGTAGCTGGGACTAAAGGACACACCATCACACACAGCTAATTTCTTTTAATTTTTTGTAGAAACAAGGTTTTGCTATGTTGTTCAGGCTGATCTTGAACTCACTCCTGGGCTCAAGCAGTCCTCTGGCTTTGGCCTATGAAAGTGTTGGGATTATAGGCATGAGCCAGTGTGCCTGATCTTGGCATTATCTTTAATGCACACATTATCCCCATTTAACAGACAAGCAAACTGATGTTCAGTGGGCTTTAATAACATATCCAAAATCTTACTGGTGGCAGAGCCAGGACTACAGAGCAGGTTTTGTGAAATCTCGGAGCCCTTTCTCTCCCATGTGCACACACCTACACTAAGAAGAGCCCACCCGGAATCCTCTCCCCACCCAGAATCCTCTCCCCACTCGGAATCCTCTCCCCACCCAGAATCCTCTCCCCACCCGGAATCCTTTCCCCACCAGCCACTCTCCCCGGGGATGTCCCCTCTGCCGGGCTGTCTCCAGGAGAGCAGCGCCGAAACCAAAGCTACCACCGTGATCGGGAGTCACTGCTCAGAGCTGTTTCAATACTAAAAAGAGAAAGTTTTAAGGTTATTATCATTAATTTTAGTCTTATCAAAAGAAATGTAAAGCAAATTATAATTTTGACTCCCACACCTGGGACCAGACCAGCAGTTCTCAAACTGTGGGTCGCGACCCCTTTGCGGATCCAACGACCCTTTCACAGGGGTCACCTAAGACCATCAGAAAGCACATACTTGCAGTGGCCTTAGGAACCGAGATACCGCTCCTCTTTCCATCTCCGGGGTCTGCCCACACGCAGATACGCCCACATACGAGTACCCGGCATGATGACATCATCATGCTAACCCTACACCCCATTCAAATACAGGTGTATGTGAGTGACAGGGTTGGCGCCATAATGTACTTATACAGACCACTCACACATGTGTAGAGAGCAGCTAAAGTAGTAAAATTACAGTTACGAAGTAGAAACGAAAATAATTTTATGGTTGGGAGTCACCACAACATGAGGAACTATATTAAAGGGTTGCAGCCTTAGGAAGGTTGAGAAGCACCAGGCCAGACGGAGCCAGTGGAGGGAGCTCTCCTCTGCCCTGCTGTCAGAGAGCCACATGGTTTGTTTTTAGCTGTAAATTTGCACCTGGGTGGTGCTGGAACTTTACAATATTAGTGTGTTCCTAATTAGTATGTTCCTTACTGTGTTCCTCTGATGTATTGTGTTCTTAGCTCTGTGAATTCTGTTACTCAATTGTTTCACTAAATCTTGCATCTTGCCAGTAAGGGTTCTTTACACAGCTTGAGTACAACATTCATTGGATCTACTCTCAGCATGAGGCAGACTCTCAGTGTCTCTCAGCCGCACCAGTCACAGGGTTTTGGGAGCTCAGAGAAGCTAAAAGGCCTTATATTCACAAACTTAAGCCCACAACCATGGCAATGTAGCACAAAGGGATGACTCAATCTGGGGAGAAGATCACAGATAAGGCAGACTTAGAATCCGGAATTCTCTGGTTGATTTGGTTTGCCATCTGCTGTAATAATATTGACACTCTCCACATCACACACGCCCCCCCATGTATATTCATAGAAATATATTCCTGATTGTGTCATGTGGGCATTTTTGTCATCATTCATCTGCTCCTGAGGTTTACTGCAGCTCACAAATTGATAATAACTTCTGTTAAATCTAAGCTGAGCTTAGATTCTGTGAGAATGCAGGCTACCCTGTGGTTGAAATTCTGGCATTTGGGAAACAGAAGAGGACCCTGGAGACACATTGGCAGAGACACATTGGCATAGTCCAGCAGTTCTCAACCAGTGGGTCGTGACCCCTTTTTAACAATGAAAATACATGGTGACTTTAGGAAGGTTGAGAACCACTGGTGTCGTCCTTTAGGTGGCTGAAGAGATAGGTGAACTGTCCCAGGGCCACAGGTATCTTCCTCCATGGACTGGGTCCTGCTCCATATTCACTCCTGGCATCTCTTGCACAGACCATGGCCTGTCAGGTGGTAGCTTACAGTGAGACTAAATTCTGGGTTCTGGAGGGGGCTGGGTCCTCGTGGACTTGGGGTAGCAGGGGTGAGTGGTTTGCTGTCACTGCCTAACAACTAAGACCTTCTTGGGGGGCGTTTTTTTTTTGTTTTGACCCTACTACTTCTTACCTTTTCTTTATTTGTGTTTTAGGACAAGACTCGAGTTGTGTCACCCATCATTGATGTCATTAACATGGACAACTTTCAGTATGTGGGGGCATCTGCTGACCTGAAGGGCGGTAGGTGTTCATCATGGTCCCCTGTCCAGCTCGTCCTATCTACACCCATGTCTGATCCTCCCCCGCTTGCTAGGAGTGACAGTGACAATAGCATTCACACCGCAATGTGTGCACCCTGAGTGCAGAGCGCCTGTGCGCTACCACACAGGACCACGCAGAGGCTTGCTCCTCCCGGAGAGCTTGCTAGGCTTCCTGCCCTCCTGTGTGAGCCATGTCGTCAGTGAACAGAAAGGATGTCCTTTCTGATCAGAGGTGATGAAGTCCTGGTGTCCGGGATGAGGTGATGTCACAGCTGCCTCCATCCCCACAGCAGAGTGTGAAGAGCTCCACAGAGTAGAGGTTTTCTGGGGCTAAAGGGGCCAGAACTATCTTTGCCATGTCTGCCCATCCCAGTAGTTTCTCTGGCAGTCTGTATCTCCTCTTGGTCACCTAGTTCTGCGCCTTACACGTGTCTTGGTTGCTGACCCATCCTCCCAGCCCAGCCACCCACATCTTGCTTCAACCCCAGGCAACATTTTGTCTGAATAATTCCTGTAGATCCTCACAGCTTCCAAGGGTGACCCCTCAAACCCCTGCCCTCCAGAGCCCCAAGAGTGATCAGTCTCTTTACCCTCTTAACAATGATCAAAAGCCCAAAGAGCCTGTACATGTGTGTCAGCATGCACTGTGTTAGACACCAAAGCCCAGAAATCATTAAAACACAAGCACATGCCCCATTTTCCACTGGCGTGCAGCCCCTGGAAAACTCTGCCATGTACTTCTGATGGTGTGAGATACAAAGGCACGTGAGGCTTCTTTAGTGTAAATACAAAAGTAGTTTTGAAATCACAGCACCTCGAAAGGGTCTGTGGACTCCCAGGGGCTTGAGGACCACATCTAGAAAGCTGCTATTCCCATAAAAGTGGTCAGGCTTCTGGGTGCCCAGGAGTCACACCACCAACCCTGTCAGGAGCCACTGCTGAGTGCTATCTGGGAGTCACACCACCCGCCCTGTCAGGAACCACTGCTCAGTGCTGTCCCAAGAGTCACACCACCCACCCTGTCAGGAACCACTGCTGAGCGCTGTC